CGGAAGTTTGGGTATTTGTGAAGATAAAAGAAGTTATAAAATACTATAGTCATTTTTGAGAGTGGAAGAACTAAGTCATTAAAGAAAGGAGGATTGTTTAGAAACATTAAGTGCTCATTTTGGACTCATGGTTAAGAATTTTAGAGTTTCACAAAGTCAATATGATAATGTACTTTTCACCCCCAGTCACACTGTACTTTTGTTACCTACAGATTGGAAATACTCAATAACAGACATTTCCTCAGCATTCTTTAAAGCTTTTATGTTAAAACTAGAAGCCTGGTGCACGAATTCATGCACCAGAGGGGTCCCTCAGCCTGGCCTGTGGGATTGGGCTGAAACCAGCTCTCCAACATCCCCCGAGTGGTCCCAGATTGCAAGAGGGCACAGGCCAGACCAAGTGACCCCACCGGTGCATGATCGGGGCCAGGAAGGGACGCAGGAGGTTGGCCAGCAGGGAGGGACCGCAGGAGGGCTCCAGGGCATGTCCTGCCCATCTAGTTCAGTCCCCATCTGCCAGACCCCAGCAGCAAGCTAACCTACTGGTCAGAGCATCTGCTCCCTGGTGGTCAGTGCATGTCATAGAGAGCGGCTGAGCAGCCTTATAATAGAATTAGCGTATTACACTTTGATTGGTTGAATGGCTGCCCAGTCGACTGGACACTTAGCATATTAGACTTCTATTATATAGGATGTGATTTATTTTTACTGGCAGCAGCAGCATATATTTGATGGATGGATATATATATATATATATGTGTGTGTGTGTGTGTGTGTGTGTATATAAATATCCTATCTAATAAAAGAGAAACATGGTAGTTAGCCATACCTCCACTACCCTTCCCATTGGCTAATCAGGGCGATATGCAAATTAACTGCCAGCAAGGATGGCGACCGGCAACCAGGCAGCTTGAAGCGAACATGAGGCTTGCTTGCTGCAGTGATGGAGGAAGCCAATGTTCCCCGCCTGCCGCTGCCGGCCTCAGAGCTTGCAGTTTGAAACATTGTTACAAATATAGAAGCTAAACAAACCCCCAGAAACCTGCTTTCAGCCAGCCAGGATCTCAGAGCTGGAGTTGAAACAGTGTTTCGATTATAGAACACAAACAAACCAGATACCTGCTTTCAGCAGCCGAGGCCTCAGAACTGGAGCCGAGCCTCAGAGCTAAAGCTGGCCCAGAATTTTAAAAAAAGACAAAAAGGAGCGGTTGGGAGCTTCAGTCACAGCCTGAAAACAGCCCTCAGCCCCTCACCCAGACTGGCCAGGCACCCCAATGGGGACCCTTACCCCGAAGGGTGTGTGACCAGCTGCAAACAGCCATCATCCCCTCACCCAGGCTGGCCAGGCACCCAAGCGGGACCCCCACCCTGATCCAGGACACCCTTTAGGGCAAACCAGCCGGCCCCCACCCATGCACCAGGCCTCTCTCCTATATAGTAAAAGGGTAATATGCCTCCCAGCACCGGGATCAGCGGAGCTGCGAGGCCTCCCGGCACCAGGATCAGTGTGACAGGGGGCAGCGCCCCAACCCCCTGATCGGCCCTGCTCTGTGTGTGATGGGGCGGCGCCCCAACTCCTCAACCAGCCCTGCTCTGAGCCCAACCAGGGCCTGCTCCTAGGGATTGGGCCTGCCCTCTGCCACCCAGGAGCAGGCCAAAGCCAGCAGGGCGTTATCTCCCGAGGGGTCCCACACTGCAAGAGGGCACAGGCCGGGCTAGGGATCCCCTCCCCCCCGAATGCACAAATTTTTGTGCACCGGGCCTCTAGTATATATATAATTTATTTATTAAAAGCTTAATATGCTAATTAGACCTGATGGCCGAACAGCGGAATGACGTTCTGGATTACCTTCTGAATGAAGCTGGGGCTGCAAGGGCTGAGCTGCGGCATGAATTTCGTGCATCGGGCCTCTAGTGTTCACATAATAATACAGGCAATGCTTAATACACGGGTAGTTTTGTTTTGTTTTGTTCTTGCTTGGTTCTTAGCACCTGCAATAACCTTGCTGTGCCAATGAGATCTGAATACCTTGGTTTGGAACCAATGTTATCATAGACTGTTGAAGCATGAGGGGGCATAGAAATTATGAAGTTTGGTGGTAGTTCAACTTGATTACCATAAACATTTAGGGGACATTAGAAACAAATACTCTAAAGTCCATTGCAGGTCTACATGAGCATCAGTAAGGTTGTTTAGAGATGAAGAATGATGAAACTGATCAGTATGTTTTCCTTATTGCCACATGAATTTCTCAGTAGACAGTGGAGAAACATTTATTGATTGATTTGATAATTTTCTGTATCACCAGAGTGGTGCTCTAATAAGAAACTGATGAGAGCCTTAACCGGTTTGGCTCAGTGGATAGAGCGTCGGTCTGTGGACTCAAGGGTCCCAGGTTCAATTCTGGTCAAGGGCATGTACGTTGGTTGCGGGCACATACCCAGTAGGGAGTGTGCAGGAGGCAGCTGATCAATGTTTCTCATCGATGTTTCTAACTCTCTACCCCTCTCCCTTCCTCTCTGTAAAACATCAATAAAATATATTTTAAAAAGAAACTAGAAAAAGACAAAAACATTGGCATAATTATTATAAAAGGTGTCACCTGAAAAAACTGATATATTAACAGAAAATGTTGCACGTCAAGATACTTCCCACAGTCCCAATATCCTGTACCGCTTCTCTCAGATTCTTAAGTTTAGATGCACAGACAGTGTCTGAATTCTTGGACTTGATAATGGTATTGTATGGTGGGCAACTGCAGTGTGAGGTTGAATTTTCTCCCATTCTCATGAAATGTGTGTGATATTTTTCAGTATACTTCTGCCCTGACCTATGATGCTGTTCAAGTGATGACTGAAGCTTTCCGCAACCTCCGGAAGCAGAGAATTGAAATCTCCCGAAGGGGGAACGCGGGAGACTGTCTGGCCAACCCCGCAGTCCCCTGGGGACAAGGTGTAGAAATAGAAAGGGCCCTCAAACAGGTCAGTCACTCAACACAGTTGTTCATGTGATTTAACAATGGCTCTCATTTTTTTCTCTGCTGAATCAGTCATCCTTCTCTTATTCCTTATGTTTAATATAGAGAGAGTATTCTTTCCTAACTACACACAGGCGGGTGGGAGGTTGAAAAGAAACTGTATAAATGTAGTGTTCTGGACTTGAGCCCAGTGAGAGTAATCTGCACAGTTTGTGTCTTTCATTGAAGTAAATTTGTAACTGTGCTCCCTTCCCATTTCTTTATTAGGTTCAGGTTGAAGGTCTCTCAGGAAATATAAAGTTTGACCAGAATGGAAAAAGAATAAACTATACAATTAACATCATGGAGCTCAAAACAAATGGGCCCCGGAAGGTAAATCATTAGTGATTTAAAGGCAGTTCTCTCTGTGTGAGAAGGTGAGTTAGCTAACCCCTCCCTTCATCATCCAAAGAGTCCTGAAGATGTGTATTCACATCGAGCTTAACTTCCGGAACCAGACATGTTTTTAAATGTGTGGTGTTGTTGTTTTTTTCTATTTCAAATCTATTCACTTCTGGTAAGTAATACTGAAAAGTAATCTTTAAATAGAACTGTTATACTTTTCTTTTAGACCATGGTGGAAAAAAGAATTTGCTGAGAAGAAAAAGAACTATTGCTGAAAGTTCACGGTTCAGAAGACAAAACATAACCACTACTGTTCAATATATATTATTTTACTTTTATGACCAAAATGCCACTCTTTGGATTTTACTTATATTTCTATATGATCACTCCCAAACAAATGATCCTTGGTGAATAAGACAAATGAACATAAAAAGACAAACTGCTTTTAAGAATAGTTTGTTCTATAGTCCCTTTCTGTTCCTATTAGATTCACATATATCAAGGACACATCAGTGTTTAGAAGCCTAGTTAATATAGGATAACTTCAGATTCAGGCATGGATTAGAAAATAATTAAATGCTTTGCTAATAAAAAAAAGTCATTTATCTATTTGCCTACCTTCTGTAACTGTTTTCAGATTGGATACTGGAGTGAAGTGGACAAAATGGTTGTTACCCTTACTGAGCTACCTTCTGGAAACGACACCTCTGGGCTTGAGAACAAGACTGTTGTTGTCACTACAATTTTGGTAATTAGCTACATAATCCTATGTTATACTTTATTTTTCTTATGAAAAGTAGTGCCAAATAGAATTGCTGATTATATTTTAGGGCAATTACTATCATAGTGTTGCTTTTGCAATGTTTCAATCATTCATTGAGTATTTACTCTTGCAGAAGGACTACACAAGCACTAACTAAAGCATGAAGCTACCTCTTAGCTTCACAGACAACTCATAACTTGGCGCATACCCCAGATTTTACAACTGGGTAAAATCTTAAAGAGCAGGCCTTGTGTTTGCTCAGACGCTTTACTTTTCCATTTCCATACCATTGTGGGTATATTTTATCTTTACATTTCTTACAAGTTTTAATAATGTTGCCAACCTCTCTTTCTTCGTAATAAAAGATGAAGTCCTTAAAGGCAAGATTGATCTCCCTTCTTTTTAACTACAAGTCTCAACACGGTAGTTGGCAATAGCCTGTGCTAAATAAATGTGCATTGAATGCCTGAGATAAAATTGACTGGATCTTGAACATTGAGGTTTGGGGTAGATGGAAAGGAGATTAGATCACCATAGCAAGCTGTTGGTGAAATGAAATAGAGGAAATGGGGTTCACTAATAGTACATACTTTTGTGATCAAACTATTTTATTTTATTTTGCTAAGCCATGATGTGGGATTTTGTGGAAATCATTAGCCTAACAATATTGAGAAAATATAGAAAGGCTAACAATGATTTGGATAAAAACATTGGCTGGCATGTAGAAATATCTTAGTAAGTCTAAGCTACACATTTGCAGAATTTTGCCTTAATCATGCCATTGAGAGGAACCATCTCACGGAGACTCCATGTATTCTTGGTGCCACTTTTCAGTGGAAAATTTGGGGCTATGTTGAATCATTTTTTTCATGCTTCCTATTTCCTATGTTTGCAAGGAGAAGCTACTAGCTACCCTTGTAGTATCATTCTAGGATATTTTATCTCATAGATGAAGCAAGACCTAAAACGTGAGAGTGTAGAATCAGAACTTCACCGTGGAGATGATCTTTGCAGCCTATATGTCACTGGCCATGCTTGAACCCTATGCTTGAAGTAGCGGTGAAATAGGGTTTTGGGTGAATGGTGGTTCTTGGGGTTGGCATAGCCTTAACATAGAATAAGCGTGTGGTGGATCCAGAGTTGAATTAAACAGCTGTTGAGCAGAATTCTTCCTTTCTAAACCCTAGGAATTACAGACAAGACAAGGGGGCATGCCGACAGTTTGTGCTTTTGAGTCTCTAGTTTACTTTGGTATGGCTAGATACAAGCCATGCTATTGAAATGTAATGAGAGATATTTGAGGACTTTTTTCAGAAGGATTATGCTTAATCTCTTCTTTTATACTAGAGGCCCAATGCACGAAATTCATGCAAGGGGCTTGGCCCTCGCGGCCCCGGCTGCCTCGTGGGCCTGCCCCCCCTTGCCCACTGGGCATTCTGAAAGGTTGTTCCGCAGTCCAGTCTAATTAGAATATTAGCTCTTTATTATATAGGATTCTGCAATGTCTCTGGCTAAGGGGTAATTATTAAACTAGAAAATGTGTTTCAGAGAGTAAATAACAAAGCTATTTTAATCGACTAAAGCACTGTCTTTCCATATAGGAATCTCCATATGTTATGATGAAGAAAAATCATGAAATGCTTGATGGCAATGAACGCTATGAGGGCTACTGTGTTGACTTGGCTGCAGAAATCGCCAAACATTGTGGGTTCAAGTACAAGCTGACAATTGTTGGGGATGGCAAGTATGGGGCCAGGGATGCAGACACGAAAATTTGGAATGGGATGGTTGGAGAACTTGTCTATGGGGTAAGTATAGCTCTTCTCATAACAAGTGATTCCATTTGAACTGTTGTTGACAGAATGCCTCCCTCCCTGCAAAGTACCTTCGTCTGAGGTTGTTGGTTTCCCACTTTACTCTAAGAATGCTATCTTATGTCCTTGTGAACATTTGAAGATTAAAGATGAAGTACGAAGAAAACGTGCAGATTAAGTGAGACAGGCATCTGTCTCGAAGCATCTGGGCCATATGCTGTGCAATGGTGGCAAAGGCACAGATGCAGTGTAAGGATGGAATTAGCATAATCAAGCCAGATGGGTGTACTATGTATTTATCAAAAGGAGGGTTATCTGTGGAACCAATTGTTTGTTGTTGTTGTTGTTTATTCGTTACTGGGAATCTACCAGGGAAATAATTATGGCCAAGTCCTTGATTTCCTTTCCTTCCCTTTTGATCCAAGAATATAACCATGATTCCTTTCTGACCATGACTCTAGGTACTATTACCTTCCTTTGTTTCCCTTACAGAAAGCTGATATTGCAATTGCTCCATTAACTATCACCCTTGTGAGAGAAGAGGTGATTGACTTCTCAAAGCCCTTTATGAGCCTCGGGATCTCTATCATGATCAAGAAGCCTCAGAAGTCCAAACCAGGAGTGTTTTCATTTCTTGATCCTTTAGCCTATGAAATCTGGATGTGCATTGTTTTTGCCTACATTGGGGTCAGTGTAGTTTTATTCCTGGTCAGCAGATTTAGCCCCTACGAGTGGCACACTGAGGAGTTTGAAGATGGAAGAGAAACACAAAGTAGTGAATCAACTAATGAATTTGGGATTTTTAATAGTCTCTGGTTTTCCTTGGGTGCCTTTATGCAGCAAGGATGCGATATTTCGCCAAGGTTGGTTACTCACCTGCTTCAACTTTGTGCATTTTAGGTCTCATGCAGGCATTCGTGGTGTTTATAAATTCACTCGAAAGAAATTAACAGCCGCCGATTACCTGTCCAAGCAGTTTAAGACTCAAGGGCAGATATTTAAAATCGGCATAAGCCTGTGAAATATTTGAGCAATGTTCTTTGAATGTTGACCTTATATTTCCCTGGTGAAATTATACACACCATGGAGAGGCTGTAAAATGCATAAGGTTCCTATCATTCCATGCCTTCTTGGAGGGGTACCGTGTTTTTGCTGCATATTCTCATTTTACAGTCATCTGTGTGTTGATCCACAGACCTGTATATGGGAAGATGGGCAATATTACATATAAACTACAAAAGCAAGAGCTTCTTTACAAAACTTCATTGGCACACATCCCATCTCTTTTATTTTCCCATCATAAGCTCATCGCAAGAGTGTGGAAAAGATGATAAAATTTGCTTCTTTTAAGGTTAGGTTGCTGAATTTAAAGGACATTATAATAACATTTTAAAAATATTCAGGAACACATGGTTGGGTAATAATTGAATTGCAATATATACATCATGGAAGAAATTCGTGTATACACCTCTCTTCACATTATGATATGTTAATTCCTACTCTAGAATGCCTAAATATGATGGGTATATCACAAAACATATATTGCTTTTGTTCATGTTATATACATGGAATAAGAATGACAGACATATTTTGCTCTTCTGAAGAACAAACCATACCATTTCTAGTGTGCTTGCTTTCATATTTAAAGCCTAAATGATTTCTGTTGGCATATTTTAAATTGGGTTTGATTACCCTCCTTTGATTCTATGGGATATTTTAATAACTAGAGAAGAGGGTGACTTTTCTAAAACTATTTCATTATGTTAATTTTTTGGCACTTTTGGGGGAAATAAGTGATTAACTTAAAAAATATATGAGAAGCTAAAAAATTTGTATGTTTTGCAATTTTTATTTTGTACTCCACCTAGTGAGATAAAGAAAATATAATGTACCCAGAAATAATCAATCACTTTTCTGATAGGTCAAATTTTTATGAAATATATTGTTCTAAACAATCTTAATCTAATCATATTTCCTAGTCTGTAGAAGTACATTAAATTAGTAACATGCCAATGGTATTTCTGATGCTCTCTGACAAGATATATAGGACTCAGAGTTATAACTCTATATTTAGTTTTAATTCTATATCTGATGTAAGATGAAGACACAAAGAGAAGTTTCTAATAATGAATTAGAAAAAAATACCAAATTTAGATCTCAGAGAACACTCTAGTCCAAAAATAACAAAATGATTCATTTTTGGTAAGAAGGCTACTGAAGCATAATATTACCCTATTTCTGAGACATAAGGCAATGATATTAGAGTGATATAAACTATGCTCTGCCTTATGAGTTAGGAGGGAAAAGTGTAGGGAGATATTATGGAGTAGGATACATTGACCTGGCTTCCCATAGATGGACCCTGCTCCATGTCCATCATGGCTCTGAAGGAGGTTGTTTTGGTGTCCAGTCCTCATCGAGGAGCAGAAAACATATTTACACCTGGGAGCTGGAGCACAGGGCACATCTAACAATCCATGTTATTCCAGGGCCCACCATGACATAAGGATAGCTTCTAATTTTCAATAAGCCTGCTTCCTAAAACATGATTTTTTTGTGCACTGTTGATTTTATTACAAGTTCAACATGTCATAATTTTTATTTTCTGGTAAGATATATTTTAGATAGTATATTTTTTTCCTGGTTTTTAATTGATTTCTTTTTGCTACAAAAATATATGGGCAAATTCACTTATTAAAGATTTTCAGCATATATATTTCATCTTATGTTAAATGTGCTTTTAAAATTGAATATATTACATAATATTGGCAAATTTAGTGACTTTTAATGAACCAAATTATCTTTATTTCAAATGCAGTGATCATTACTTACTCCAGTTTAGAAAAGAATAGAGCAGCTTAACATCTAAAATCATCATCATCATAATGCATGAAATGTACAGATCACTTTAGAGATGCTCTTTAAATATTTTAAAAGATATTTATCATTTCCTTCCAAGTAACATCTGATATAGAACTATATTATTAATATTAATGCAACATTTAAATTTTAATCTGGAATGATTTATTGAATTGAATTGGTCACTTGCCTGAAATCAAATTTGGAATATGTTAACTATAATTTTCTGAAGACTAGAACCACAGAAATCATGAGAGCAAAATGCTCAGAAGTTGGCTTTTTATTTTCCTGTTTCTCTTCCCCTACCCTATCTCTAAAGGATTCAAATGAATAAGCATACGTATTGCCATTTAAAAATATTAGAGAGAAAAAAGAAATGTTACATTATGTGCATTCATTGGTTCTTTTAGTACAGATGATGAGAGGTTAAATTTTTGCATTTAATTAGAAAAACTGTTTTTGTCTGTTACCATAAAACATAAAATTGAATTTGCCCTCTGCATAAAAAATTTTCAGGAACTCTTTCAAAAACATTAATTGATCCTTTGAAAACACTAACAAGTAAATAATAAAATGCTCAAGAATTTCTGTTTGAATGATGTATAAGTCCAATAAGTTCTTTATTTTGTACGCTTTAAATAAATTAGCATATTTAATCTCATTAAATAGGATTTAACCACTTAATTATAGAACAACTTATGTCTTTATCTTATGTCTATTTTACAACTGGAAGAGAATGATTTTTAAATATGATTCTCAAATATATTGCAAACTAACATGCAATGTATAGTGTTAAAAGCAATTACTATGTAACTGGTTTTGTTTAAGGGGTTTGAGCAGTAAGGTATAGAATCTGCCCTCTTAAATACAGGGTACATGCCATCTAATTATACCTCCCATTATGTGGAAGAAACAATGAACATTTTGAGAGTAGTTATGTCTAAATAAGGGTTTCCCAAATTTAAAATATATTTAATATCCTTTCAGAATATAAATGAGTAGTGTTTAACTTTTCATCCTGTCATATTTATTTATTTATATTTTAAGTCCTCACCCAAGGATATTTTTCCATTGATTTTTAGAGAGAATGAAGGAGGGGGGGAAAGACAGACAGAAATATCGATGTGAGAGAAACACATCGATTGTTTGCCTCCTGCAGGAGCCCGACCAGGGCCCAGGCCGGGGAGGTGCCTGCAACCGAGGTACATGTTCTTGACCAGAATCAAACAGGACGCTTCAGTCCATAAGCCAGTGCTCTATCCACTGAGCCAAACTGGTCAGGGCTATTTAATTCTTTGCATCTCTTAAAGACTGTGATAAAGGCTCTTAATTGCATTCTTTCTGTTTTCACTGCTTGCTCCCTCTCTCCTTTTTTATTTTAGCAACAAATGTGTTTTATCTTAAAAAAAAATGTTAGTTTTAAATGAGCTCCCCCTCTTTTCCCTGACTGCTTAAGTAGTTTATTCGACAAATATTATCCACTAATTTGATATAGTATCTGTGAATCATCAGAAAATATATTTCTTACTGTTAATTGTAGAAAGTTTGATTTAGGTCATAAATTGCCAAATTTTTGTGATTTACATTTTTAGAAGTATTTCCTCTTCACTGTAGCAAATCAAAATTTTAGACACAGCAGTTAGCAAAGAAAGTTATATTTGTTAATATTATTTTTTTAAAAATATATTTTATTGATTTTTTACAGAGAGGAAGGGAGAGAGATAGAGAGTTAGCAACATCGATCAGCTGCCTCCTGCACATCTCCCACTGGGGAGGTGCCCGCAACCCAGGTACATGCCCTTGACCGGAATCGAACCCGGGACCCCTCAGTCCGCAGACCGACGCTCTATCCACTGAGCCAAACCGGTTTCGGCAATTTGTTAATATTATTTAAATGCCTTTATATGTAGAATCCCACCAAGTTTTCTTTTAAATAGCATAGTACACATTTACTTCTGTATGTACATGTATATGTATTTATCTATCTAGGGTTTAAAGTAAATTATTGGGAATCTATTATGCTTTTAAAAAGTATTTTATGTAAGAATTTATGGCCATGAGGATTTTATATCTTGGCAAACTTTTGTGTCTAATTTGTTGTCCTTGAGCTTTCTTTTCTTAAGCAGGAGCCACAGAGGAACAGGGTGATAACTGCCCATGCCATGAAACATCTAATTTTTATTCATTTAGAATTATATTTTGTTTCATACCTTTGTTTGTAGTTGACATTTCTTTTTTCATCTACTATCCTATCCTGCATCTAAAACCCACATTTTGGTACAAACAAAAAACTAATGAAATTTTGGATCTTTTTTTTATTTTTTGAGGGGTTTGAAGCTTCATGGGCTGAATCAAAGGGAGGGTTTTTCCAGTGTTTAAAGCTATATCTATGATGCATACTCTTATTTTTAACATTTGGTTGTTTATCAACATTGTTCTGAATATTGCTGGTGATCTTAGATTGTATTGTTCATGTTTGCTTATGACCTGAGTGGATAAAGTAGAATGAGCATTGAATGGATTATGTGCACAGTTCTTGAATTGCTTTGTTAGGAGATGTCATACCACAAACAATTTGGGCGTGATAACTATGGAAGAATCTGAAAGTGTTTGTTTCTGGGTACCTCACCAAATCTGGTTAATCTGTATTCCTTGTCCAGAATGTTTAATGATTTCCAGTTTCATTAAGGTGCAGATATATTTAAAAGTAGAAATTATGTCCCTGTAAGTTAATATTTGCATAATACTGCTAACTTGTTTTTTTTAGGTCATTCATTTCACTTTACAAATCCATTTCATACTTGTTATTAGATCCCTCTCTGGGCGCATTGTTGGAGGTGTGTGGTGGTTCTTTACCCTGATCATAATCTCCTCCTACACGGCTAACTTAGCTGCCTTCCTGACTGTAGAGAGGATGGTGTCTCCCATCGAAAGTGCCGAGGATCTTTCTAAGCAAACAGAAATTGCTTATGGAACATTAGACTCTGGCTCCACTAAAGAGTTTTTCAGGGTAAGAGATTCTGCTTTGTACCTTCTGCTTTTGTTCTTAAAGTTTAACCTATTTCCACGTTGTCCCTCTTTGCCTCTCAAGGTCTGTACGAAGGTGCTATGTGCAAGTAAACACCTCTGTCTCTAACTCCATTTCCATTCTTTTTGTTATTGAATTGATTGGGTGACATCCTATATAATAAAAGGGTAATATGCAAATTGATCCTAACAGCAGAACAACTGGGAATGACTGGTCACTATGATGCACACTGACCACCAGGGGGTAGACACTCAATGCACGAGCTGCCCCCTGGTGGTCAGTGCACTCCCACAGGGGGAGCTCTGCTCAGCCACAAGCCAGGCTGACGGCTGCCAGCACAGCTGTGGTGGCGGGAGCCTCTCTCACCTCCTCAGCAGCGGTAAGGATGTCCAACTGCAGCTTAGGCCTGCTCCCTGCTGGCAAGTGGACATCCCCCAAGGGCTCCCGGGCTGCCAGAGGGATGTCTCACTGCAAGCTTAGGCCTGATACTCTGGGGAGCTGGCCTAAGCCAGCAGGTGGACATCCCCTGAGAGGTCCCAGACTGCAAGAGGGCACAGGCCAGGCTGAGGGACCCCCCGAGTGCACAAATTTTTGTGCACCAGGCCTCTAGTTGGTTAATAAAATGATATAGGTTTCAGGTGTACACTTCCACAAGGCATCATCTGCATGTTGTATTGTGTGTTTACCACCCCAAGTCCAGTCTCCTTCCATCCCATTTCCATTCTTGGCTTCGTCCCCATTCCCCTCCTTACCCTATTCCTACACTTAGCTCTTCCTCATCTGTTTTCTGATTCCTCACTTATTTGGATAAAAACACAATATTGCAATGAAATATTAGTTTTATAAAGTTTGACTGCAATTTTGGAACAAAATTGAAGCAAAGTACAGTTAAGTATAGATTGGTATTATTTTTAAAACAAAATGGTGTTTTTTTGTTTGATTTTAAGTATGACATTTATTGTACATAGTTTACAGTTGAAAACTCACTTTCAAATCAGTTATGCTAATTTTATGTCAGAAAACAGATTATGTTTAAATGTGAAAATTCTGAATTTTCTGTCAAACTCTCCAGAAAAAGGCTAACAAAGGCCTTCAGCTTTTTAAAATGCACAGTGTAATTATAATGTATTTTACCTTTAAAAAAATCAGTGGCCTTATGATCTCTGTTTATAGGACAAACCCAATAACCTGATGTTGGTATAATTTTATTTTATTATACTATTATCTCTATATATGAACTCAATCTATTAAAATGTTTAAATACAGCTGATAAACTTAGGTCTAAAGCCAATATATATGATATATGATGATCTCTGGTAATCCACAAATACCTTTGAACGTATCTGAGTTTATTTGAGTGAGAGCTAGGCCATTTTACTTGAGAATTAGGGTTAAAGAATTCCATTTTCAGTTGAAGCAGATTATAATTTGAAGACTGTTTCACCCTACATTGGCATCTGGTCTCTTTTTCCAAATAACTTGAAGTTAGGAGAAATAGTGGTTGGAGGCAGTCACAGCTGATAACAGATAATAACCTGGAATTTGTTGGACTTAGAAGCTTAATGCTTTCATTAGGCACTGCAATTTAAATGCAGAAGTGTGGTCAATCTATCAGCAGCTACTTTAATGCAGTTCTACATATGAATGTTGTAATACAGGTTTACTACTAATGACAATTTACTCTCACTTCCAACCATATATATAATGTGTTTAAATACTATTAATATAACATAGTGCTCTAACTTGATCATAATAATCTATTGAACTAAATTAGAATATTGTATGATTCTTAATTAGCAGTGTATTTTGAAGCATTTTTCGTTATTTGCATCCCAAGAGGATGCAAAAATATTACATATTTTACTAGTATTCTTCCTTCTTGAAATACATGAGATTTATGAATGAAAAAGTTGTACTGTTTATATGATTAAAACGATCTTAAACGTTTCCAGATATTCACTTCTAGGTGAGTATACATATTTTGAGAGTTACTGTCATTAGCTTGTTTGGACAACAATAGAACCAAATACTCTCAACTATGGCATATTCAAGTTCCCAGAGCTTTTCAGTATACCTTAACTCAGTCATTCATAGAAACATGCCATAATTACCAAGATGCCAAGATATGCAAATTCCCTAGTAAACAAGATGAAAAGGCTAGATGACTGTGGGCAAAAGAGTGCTGCTACTCTTTTATTTTTGTATTTCAGTGTACTAATTCCATAAAAACCATGATTTATATCTCAGATAAATTTGAATATTGTCCAAATTCAGGTAGCTCTTCAGTGTGCAGAGGCCTCTTACTCCTAAAGGGTTCTTTTCATATAGTATTTTTCCTTGAAGAGGAAGTTCCCTGAATTTATTCTGCTGCTCCATGCTCTGTTTTGTTGGCTTATGTAATGTTAGAGAATTATCATGATAGAAATTCAAGAAGGGTTTTGCTGGTCCTGCCAACATACTTTCAAAAGGAACTGTCAAATCAGCTGTGGCGAGGTCTCAGTGCATAGACCATCGCAGCCAGCTTTCCCTTGTCTAGAGAAAGAAGGATATGGGCTCAAAAGTACCCCAAAACCACACTATTTATTCTGTTTGTACCAATAAAGGGAAGCTAAACAACAGCACACATCACCAAAGTGAATAGGAGCTTGCCATGTTAAGACCTCCACTGAAAATATATAATATAGTTGTGATTTGGAAAATGATGTACACAGAAGGTTTGTTTCTTAAAGTTGGATTAAATAAAACAGTGCTGCTAAATTCTGATTAATTTTGTTAACTTTATTAATGTTTGATAATCGGGTACCATGATGATGATAGTAAGGACAATATTAATTTTTTGACTTCCAAGAATATTTTCTATGAATCTGTGGCTTACCAATCATATCCATCATGGCTCACACCTTTCCACATAGAGTTTCTTGTCTAAGTATATGAAGAATTTAAAACAGAGTCTCTTTGGAAAAAATAACTTCTCTTTATGCTATTTAAAATAAGATAAAGCTAATTCATAGACATTATAAAAGCAAAATATAATTGATTTTTTATTAATATTTTCCTCTGAAGTCCTAAGGTATATATTTGGCTTTTGGTCTGAATGAAAGGACTCAGGCGAAATTTTCCATAATATACATCTGATCATATATATGCTGTACTCTATAAGATCCACAATTACTGAAGATTTACAATAAATTATACATTTTTAATTTTTTTTAAAAAATTGTGAGCTATATAACACACAGAAAAGTGCATGAAATATAAATGTGCAGATTTATACACTCAGGCCAACAAATTGACCACTCTCAGCATTGTTTAATAGAAACATAATAAAAGCCACATGTATAACTTAAAATATTCTAGCAGCCTCTGAAACTATGCTTTTAAAGGCAGCTATCTTTTCTCAACTTCCTCTCTGCCCAAATTTCTAAGCTTCTAGTGGAAAGTGTTGCAGAGGAAATTTACCTTGCATCTATTCCTAAAAATAACATTCACCACATATCTTGGGTCGTCCTCTCTCTTAACTGTCCTTTAGTGCTAGTCATGTTTAAGGCTCCTGTAAGATGGATTCAAGACAGGGTAAAAGCTGGCAGATTATCATGGTGGCCAATCTGCCAGGGAAGGAGATATAGATGGAGTGGGCTGAAGCCAGACTCAAGACACCTATTGTAGTTTGTCCTCTGGCCGTCTGTTATACTAACTTTCAGACCAAAGACAGCTAATTACATGTAGAAGAAAACACTCTCACCATTTTTACCATCTGCTAATATTTAAAGTTCTATCAGTTATCTTATGTTCCTAATATGGCTTATTTTGGCTTGATCGATAGCTTTCCCCTTCTTATACTGTTTATGACTAGGATTTTATTGTTTATTTTATTTACAATTTTATACTATCACAGAGTTTATCAAGCCAATTTCTGTACTTACCACAGCAAGAGCTTTGGATTTAGCCTTTGGAGAAACTGATTTGAGAAGTTGGGTAATTGGCTAATTAAAGATATATAAATAGCAAAGTAATGAAAAAATAATTTTAAGACAATGTAGAGATTAAATGGCCAGTTTTAAAACAGAATTCTAAACATTTAGTGTTTTGTCTCGATGTTAACTAATATTTCCTAAAAGCATATTTTTTTGGGGGGGTGGGTTGGGGGTGAAAGCACCTTACTTCTTTCAAATTATAAGATGGATATTTCATCTTGTTTATAGAGATCTATCTCTTAGGCCCGTATGTGATGTCAATTACTCAATTTAAGCCTAAAGTATTTTCAGATTTCAGTTAAATAATATAACAAACTGTTATATTAATATTAATTTAGTAGATTCAGTGAGTGTGCATTAGTATTAGAATTCCAATTTAAGTTTTAAAATTTTAACCTTAAAAAGTATATATCCCATCAGTGGTAATCAGTAGAAAAACATGAACGATATTCTCTTTGTTCTGTTAGAGAGTGTAAGTGAAAGGCAATCTTGTAACCATCAAGAGGTGTGAGGAAAAAGACCCTGTATCTTTATCTTCCAGGGTTTTCTGCTATGGAACTCATATACATCCTTGTACGGAGTGAATGATAAAGCCTGACTCACTTTGGAGCTGCTGATTGTCCCTAATTATAGAGTGCCACTGTAGCATACCTATAATTAAGAAAGAATTAGGCTTTCAATTATAAACCACTATTTTTAGACTTTCACATTTTGATAATCCCTTCTCTCAATAAAAGAGGACAGATCTTAGATGAGTCTGTGTAGAAAATAATTTCAGAGGACCTGTATGCTTTGTGTTCCTATAGAAACATAGATTTCAAGGATAGGAAATTACTTCTATTTGTAAGCCCATCATTGGCCTGTCACTCTAGAAAGCCCAATTATTATCCTCCTGAAGAAAGTGCTTCTCCACGCCTCTCCTAAATCCCCACACTGCAGTCACTTACTTCCTCTGGTTCCCCTCTCTGGGAGGCTGAGGGACAGCGTGGAACCTCTGAATAAGTGATC